AAGAACCTCACTTCTTGCATCTGAAGAAGTGAGGTTCTTACCCACGAAAGCTTATGCTCCCAGTACTTCTGTTAGTCTCAAAGGTGCCACAGGACCCTCTGTTGCTTTTTACAGATAGCAAGTGTGAAAAATCAAGACAGGGTGGGGGTAAGAGGCACATACCTAAGACAAAGCCCCAAATAGCGGGGCAGTCCCTATAAAATCAAGACATCTGGACACCCTAGGTCCGAGAGAGCATATGTCAGAAAACCCAGGCCACACGCTGCAGCTGGATGCCCCCTGCGAGGGGGCAGTGAGGCGTGGGAGTGAGGCACTGTAGGCCAGGTTGAGGGGTGGGTGTGAGGTGGGAGAGGACACGGCAGGTTGAGGAGGTGGCCGTGAAGCAGGGGCGCGGCGGCTGGCTGAGGGGGGTGTAGGAGTGGAGCAGTCCGGTGGGAGTGAGGTGGGGGCGGGGCTGGCTGAGAAGATGGGAGTGAGTCGGGGCGGGGCTGGCTGAGGGCCTGGGAGTGAGGCGGGCGCGAGGCAGGTTGAAGAAGGCGGATGGACTGTCCGAGGGGATGGGAATGAGGCTGAGGGCGGAGCTGGCTGAGGGGGTGGGAGCGAGACTGGGGGTGGGGTAGGCTGCTCCCCTCGCGGCCAAGGCCGCTGCTGAAGCCGGGACGGTCACGTGACAGCGCCTGCTGCGCTCCCTGGTCATATGCCGAGGGCGGGGCGCCGCTCGAGTCGGTTTCGTTCTGCGCTCGCCTGGGATAGCGCCGGGACAGAGGCTACGGTGCTGCGCTCGGGTCCCGCACGATGTTTCCCGCGGTGCGGGGGCTGGGGCTGGCGCTGGCCGCGCTGCTGGTGCTGAGCCGCCATTGGGGCTGCGCGCAGGCGGCCGGGACCAGCGGGGCGCGGAAGCCCAGCGTGGTGCTGATCCTCACCGATGACCAGGATGTCTGCTTGGGCGGCATGGTAACCTGCTCTCCCTATCGCCCGGGACGTCCTGGGGGCCCGCCCCCAGTCCTGGGCTTGGGGGGGCCTGTGTCCCCGTTATGGGGTCTGCCCCCGACCCAGGGGTGGTCCTGCCCCCGGCTGTGTCACGCGTGGGCCTCGCGGTGCTGGGCGCCCGGGCGCAGGCAGCCCCGCGCTCGAGCCCGCTGGGCGCGGCAGCGTTTGCTCCTGGCCTGACCCGGCTCGGGGTGAGGGGCGGGGCTGTGCGGGGGCTCGGTGGGGCAGACGCACCCCTTACAGGTACCTCGCCAGAGGGGCGGGAGGGGCTCTGCCGTGGCCAGGGCCGCTCATCTCCGCTTTGGCAGTGGGGACCCTGAATCTTGGGAGAGGGAAAAGCGTCTTGAGCCCAGACCAGTTTGAAGGGAGCAACTGGCTGCATAACAGGTGTTTGGAAGCTGTCGTGCAACTTCCCTTTGGTGTGTGTCTGGGCCGGGATGTCGCCTCTCACTCAAGGAACCCGTGTGCGCTGGCTGACCGGGGGCTCGTCGTTAGCGCAGCGTCCCTGACAGAACGGGTGGGATTTGCCTTGTTTGCGGCTTTATTAGACAGGCGGAGTGTCAGCTCTCCCCTAGAAAGTCCATAGAATCAGCTAGGATGGTGTGTAAATGGCAATAGCTCTTAATTCTGCCGGTGCCTTTCTGTGACCCTGTTTCGTTGGGTTATTGCAAGCGTGACTTCATGGGGTTTAATTTGTAGGGCAAATATTGAGATACAATTATCAGAAAGGCAACATATTGCATTCTCGGGTGCAAGTTCTGCACTGTTCCCAAGAACATGAGGTAAAAGAATATATATGCCTTTTGGGAAGCGAACTAGTGTAGTCAGAACTTCACACTTAGTTATCCATATTAAAGAGAGAGGTAACGAGAAAATTCTCACTCACAATGCTTTGGATTAAACACTCTAAAAAAAGGTAGCTCAGTGGTTTGAGCATTGGCCTGCTAAACCGCGGGTTGTGAGTTCAATCCTTGAGGGGGCCATTTAGAAATCTAGGGCAAAAATCTGTCTGGGGATTGGTCCTGCTTTGAGCAGGGGGTTGGACTAGATGACCTCCTGAGGTCCCTTCCAACCCTGAGATTCTATTCTATTTTAGTATACGTGTTCACTTTTCATCACACCCTGAAGTAACAGGTCTTCATCAGTCCAGAATGTTAGGATTTGCAGTTTACTGTCTTAAACTGACCAGCATCAATACACACACGGTTTGCTATATGCATAGTGTTTATTACATCAGGATCACTTAATTAACCTATCTGTATGTAGTTCTTCACTTGGGATGTTGAGTGCTTCAGGATGTCCATTGAAGGAATCAACATTAAAACAGAAATAGGGCCTGTGACTTGACAGATTCCACAAATTAAACAATGAATGTTACTTAGAGCACTTTTCTTTCAAAGATCCCAAAAGGCTCATTTTACTGTAGTCGTTAAATTCTACTTGCCCAGGGTGAGTACCTGTTTTTGATAGAGTAAAATATTAGGGTTTTCATTCCAGTGAGGGTGGGAAAGTAAACCTTATGCCTGGGCTACTTAGTGTTAATAAAAAGCAACAAAGAGTCCTTTGGCACCTTATAGACTAACCGATGTATTGGAGCATAAGCTTTCGTGGGTGAATACCCACTTTGTCAGACACGTGTTTTAATAACCATTTTGAAAGATTGTTTCACTAACGACATATGAGGAATCAATTCACACTATGAGATTGTAGCAGTCTGGCTCCAGGATGAAAAGGGGCATTTTAAGAACAACAAAACACTATTTTCTGTCTAGAAAATGATGTCTGGTTGATCCATTTGAATGAAGAAACATTGGGTAGAATGTAATAACTTAAAAGGAGAATTCTGTCAAAACTTGCAAAAAGTAAACTAAGAATTTTGATAACTTTAGCCTTGCATTTTAGATGTAGAGTTTGAAGTTTCACTGCAAAGAAATGGAGGCTTTGGTTTGGTCTAGCCAATGCTTAAATACTGTGGTGATTGGTACTCTATAAATACCTCCCATGAAAATCAACTTAAGGTTGCCAGTTTAGATAGCACACTAGCATCTCAGTATCCAGATATTTTTAGCTCATTGTACTAATTACTATCTCTGTTACAGACACCGCTAAAGAAGACCAGTGCCCTTATTGCAGATATGGGGATAAGCTTCTCAAATGCAGTAAGTGCTGACATTGACTTCTGTAACCTGCAGTGGCATGTATTTATTGAAGCTATTGTAATTTAAATACCTATGGTGGTAATGGTATAACAGATGTAATCTCTAATTTGGCTCTGAAGTAGGTTTAATTTCAACTTTTTAAATATGGAGAATACAAGGGGGCAGATTAATTCCTGTGGTAAGGTATGAATTGGACCCAAGATCACTTTCTGTGCCTGGGATGGACCATTTCAGAACACTTAATTTAATGAATATTTTTAGAAAATGAAAGTTTTGGCTGTAAACTAATAAGGAAATCTTTCAAAGATTTGGCTTTGTACAGGTTTGAAAATTGACTAATGGTTCCCCATTCTTGTTTACTGGAATTGTTACAATAAGTAGTATTTAAATAACTGTTCATTCTCAAATAACTGGTGCTTTCTGCTGTGTGTATAACATGCGTTTTCTAAATTGTAAACTCTACAGAAAATATAAACCCAATCCCACGTGCAACCTCTAATTGATAAAAATATTTGGGTGGTAGTTCTATATGCCTAAATAAATGGGAGTAATCTGATCTATGTGATGTGAGTGACTTATTTGCATATCTTTTAATGTCTTTTGCTATTTGCTAAAAACTAGATTTTTTTTTTTTGCTTCAACGAGTCAATTTACAATTTGTATTTTTTCATCCTGTGTTCTAGTATGTGCCCAGTGCATTGTGCTGTCCCAGCAGAGCTAGCATCTTAACAGGGAAGTACCCACATAATCATCATGTTGTCAATAACACTCTGGAGGGAAACTGCAGCAGCAAATCATGGCAGAAAATACAGGAACCATATACCTTCCCAGCTCTCCTCAAGTCCATGTGTGGCTATCAAACGTTCTTTGCTGGGAAGTATTTAAATGAGGTATATCTTACTCATATTTGCTGTTACACAAGTGAATTGCCTGTACTGAAAATAACTTTGTGAAATAAAGTCTTAGTCCTTATTTCTGTAGATAAAATAAACCCCCATAATATTTAAAATACTACTGTTTAGATGAAAAATTCTTTCTCAGAATTGTTAAAGGAATGGAGGAAATAAGACATGCAACCTAACTTTTCTCAGCTTAGTTTGGCCAAAGTATCACATCCATGTAATAGGTAGTCTTGAGAGAGTCAAGTATCAGAGGGATACCCATGTTAGTCTGGATCTGTAAAAAAGCGACAGAGTCCTGTGGCACCTTATAGACTAACAGACGTGTTGAGAGAGTCAGTAGTTTAGTCCTCCACTTCAGGAGTACCTAGAATTTGAGGATTATATTTGGGGAAGGGATGTGGGACTGGACTTCTGTGGTTAGGTCATGTGCTGGGTCCGTGTCCCCCCCCCCCCAATCATAGAAACCACATGGTCCAGGAGGTTCTGGCAAGGGAGAGAAGAGAAGAGAATATTTCAAATCCCCTACTGATTATACATCTGCGGGTTGGAGAGGGAATTGTTAATTGTATACAATTTAATTTTTCCCTTTAAAAAATTACATACAAACAATTAAAAGAACATTTTGCAAAGTCGAGCATTCAAAAGTTAGGCAATAACAGATTTAAGGTTGCCCCACTATGTGTATGCATTTAATAGTCTTTAATATGATATACTATATTTTTCTGCAGGACTCCTGTATAGTTCAGTGCACAGGTTGGATGTACAAGGGAATAGAATTAATGTTGCTTGGGCAACTGTAAATCTGGTATCGCCTTTCTTTGCAACCTTTTAATGTAGGAGTATTTGTATGTCGTACAAGTCAGTGTGTGTTTATCTGATTAGAACTGGGCCTTTGCATTTCTGGTTGCTGTGGAAGAAAACAACCCTCCCTAAATATAGCTTATATCTCAGTCACATCTGAGACTGTGCTTGGTCACTTTCTTTTTTTCCCTTTTTTTTTTTCAGTATGGAGCAGAAGATGCAGGGGGAATAGGCCATGTTCCTCCTGGATGGAGTTTTTGGTATGCTTTGGTATGTGACAGCTTCTATTAAATACCTAGTTGTAGATACTTTACAAAAGTAAATCTAGCTTAATTGTGCTCAATCTAAGAACCGGTCTGCTTTTTGCATGCTTCTGTTAACTAAGAGGAAATTCCCTTCCTTCATAGTGTGTTGCATTTTCTCAGCTTTGTAAGGAGGCTGTTGATGTTGATGAGTTATTTCTAAAGAAGTATCTGAAAACCTGATTTCAACAAAGGAAAACTTGCTATTATTATAGTATAGAATCACTTTGGTTTTACAAAAGGCAAAGCTTGTAGGCCTTTTGCAGTGCACATACTACAAATACTTCAATAGGACAAATTGTTTGATAAAATCAGGCTTAACAAATACTTGTTGACAACTTAGTTTATTTAAAGTGGTCAATGAAATAGTAGATTCTTGTCTTTTTCTATATCTAAATGATATATTCTTTTCTCATAGGAAAAAAATTCAAAGTACTATAATTACACTCTTTCAGTAAATGGAAAAGCACGAAGGCATGGTGAGAATTACAGTGCAGATTACCTGACAGATGTACTGGTAAGAAACATCACAACAGCTGCATTACTGTTCGATTTCTGACCAAACACTACTTTATGCCTGGCTGTGTTACTGAATGGATATTGCCTAATCTTGGTGTTGTCTTTACTTCAGGCATAACCAGTGAAGCAAGATTCCAGCTCTATTTAAAGAGGGCAAGGTTGTATATTGTTAGATAGCTGTTAGCCAAGGGCCAGATCTGGAGGTGAACACTGACTTCAGTGGTAGTTCAGGGTGCTTGACCAAAATGTTGCTGATTGGTAGGTCATAGACTTCCATTTAGAACAAGTACCAACCTGTGAAATGGCAATTTGGCTTAAGACCTAAGAGAATATGCTTCACTTCAGCCAACTGTTGTTGTAACGGAGTTCTAACTTAGCTCTCATTTGTTTTTAGATGTTATAGTATGTCTATATATGTGATTTCAAGAGACCTCTATTAACATAAGAACTTAAGAATGGCCATCCTGGGTGAAACCAATGGTCCATCTAGCCCAGTATCCTGTCTTCAGACAGTGGCCAATTCCAGATGCTTCAAAGGGAATGAACAGAACAGGGCAGGGGTGGCCAACCTGAGTCTGAGAAGGAGCCAGAATTTACTTATGTACACTGCCAAAAAGCCACAGTAATACATCAGCAGCCCCCCCCCCCACCAATCAGCTTTCCCCTCCCTGCCCCACCTCCCAGCCCTCCCGATCAGTGGTTTCGTGGCATGCAGGAGGATCGGGGTGGGCGGCAGAGGGGAGGGAAGAGTGAGGGCACAGCAGGGGAGGGGGTGGGAAGGGGTGGAGTGGGGGCAGAGCCAGGTGTTGAGCTGTGAGCACCCCCCGGCACACTGGAAAGTTGGCGCCCATCTCTCCATCCCTGGTGTCGGTGCCTATACAAGGAGCCACATATTAACATCTGAAGAGCTGCATGTGGCTCCGGAGCCACAGGTTGGCGAACCCTGGAACAGGGCAACAATCAAGTGATCCATCTCCTGTCATATAGTCCCAGCATCTGGCAGTCAGAGGCTTTGGGACACCCAGAGCATGGAGTTGTATCCCTGACCATCTTGGCTAATAGCCATTGATGACCCTGTTCTTCATGAACTTATCTAATGCTTTTTTTGCCCCAGGTATACTTTTGGCCTTCACAACATCCCCTGGCAACAAGTTCCACAGGTTGACTGTGCATTGTGTGAAGAAGTACTTTCTTTTGTTTGTTTTAAACCTTCTGTCTATTAATTTGATGGGTTACCCCTGGTTCTTGTGTTGTATGAAGAGGTAAACAATACTTCCTTATTCACTTTCTCCACACCATTTATGATTTTATAGACCTCTATCATATTCCCCCCCCCCCCCTTAGTTGTTTCTTTTCCAAGTTGAACAGTCCCAATCTTTTTAATCTCTCCTCATAGGGAAGCTGCCCCATACCTTTAATCATTTTTGCTGCCCTTCTCTGTACCTTCTCTGTTTCTTAAATATCTTTTTTTGAGATGGGGTGAGCAGAACTGCACAGAATATTCAAAGTGTGGGTGTATCATGGATTTATATAAGGGCATTATGATATTTACTATCTAATTATCTGTCCCTTTCCTAATGGATCCTAACTTTGTTAGCTTTTTTGACTGCTGCTGCGCACTGAGCAGATGTTTTTAGAGAACAATCCACAATGACTCCAAGATCTTTCTTGAGTGGTAACATCTAATTTAGACTCCATCTTTTTGTATGTATAGCTGGGATTATGTTTTCCAATATGTGTAACTTCTCATTTATCAACACTGAATTTCATCTGCCATTTTGTTGCCCAGACACCCAGTTTTTGAAATCTCTTTGTAACTCTTCGCAATCTGATTTGGGCTTTACTATCTTGAGTAATTTTGTATCATCTGCAATCTTTGACACCTCACTGTTTACCCCTTTTTCCAGATCATTTATGAATATGTTGAACAGCACTGGTCCCAGTACAGATCTCTGAGGGAGACTGCTATTTACCTCTCTCCATTCTGAAAACTGACTACTTATTCCTACCCTATTTCCTTTCTTTTAACCAGTTACTCATCCTTGAGAGGACCTTCCCTCTTATCCCATAAGTGCTTAGTTGGCTTAAGAGCCTTTGGTGAGGGACCCTGTCAAAGGCTTTCTGAAAGGCTATTTCCACTGAATTACTCTTGTCCACATGTTTGTTGACCCCCTCAAAAAATTCTAAGAGATTGGTGGGGCATGATTTCCCTTTACAAAAGCCCTGTTGACTCTTCCCCCAACAAATTGTATTAATCTATGTGTCTGATAATTCTGTTCCTTTCTGTAGTTTCAACCATTTGCTTGGTACTGAAATTAGGCTTTCCAGCCTGAAATTGCCAGGATCGCCTCTGGAGCCTTTTTTAAAAATTGGCATCACATTGGCTATCCTCCAGTCATTTGGTACAGAGGTTGGCTTAAGTAATAAGTTACATACCACAGTTAGTAGTTCTGCAGTTCCATAGTTGAGTTCCTTCAGAACACTTGGATGAATACCATCTGGTCCTGGTGACTTATTATGGTTTAATGTATCCATTTGATCCCAAGCCACCTCTATTGACACCTCAATCTGGGACAGTTCCTCAGATTGTCACCTAAAAAGAATGACTCAGTTGTGGGAATCTCCCTTATATCCTCTACAGTGAAGACAAATACAAAGAATTCATTTAGCTTTTCTGTAGTGGCCTTGTCTTCCTTGAGTGCTCCTTTAGCATTTTGATCATCCAGTGGCTCCACTGACTGTTTGGCAGGCTTCCTGTTTCTGATGTACAGTAGAACCTCAGAGTTACGGACACCTCAGGAATGGAGGTTGTCCGTAACTCTGAAATGTTTGTAGCACTGAACAAAGCACAGTTCAGGCTCCAGATCCAGCAGCTTGCACTCCAAGCTAGGATTCAGCAGCAGCTGAGCAACCTAGTCAGCCCCGACGGTGGGAGCAGGGGGCGTGTGTGTGAGAAAACAGCGTGGTCCCTTCCCAGCCGGGAGAATGGGGGGTAAAAACAACGTGTCCCCCTCCTGGCTGGAGAGAGGGAGGTAAAAAACCATGTCCCCCTCCGGGGGGGGGGAGGGGGGTGTGTGTATGAGCTGCGCAGACCCCAGCGTTGCTCCTCCTCTGCTGTCTCCGGCTGCCTTGCCCTGGCAGCTCCAGCGTCTTGCTGTAAGTGGTTGTCCATGAGGTGGGGTGGGGGCAGCCGCCCAGATGTGCCCACCGTTAAGATGAAATACAGGCACAGTACAGTGCTTGCTCTTTTTTATTAATCTCTGCTGATGCCTGATTGGTTACTTCTGGTTTCACATGGTGTCTGGTTGGCCTTTCAGTCCATAACTCTGGTGTTTGTGTCTTTGAGGTTCTACTGTACGGGGGGGGGGGGGGGGAAATTGCTGTTTGAAGAGAAAACTAGCAAAAGACAAATTTTTTGGCATACCAAATTATACTTTTACACTTGACTTGCCAGAGTTTATGCTCTTTCTATTTTCATCATTGGGATTTGACTTCCAATTTTTTAAAGGATGCCTTTTTGCATCTAACTGCCTCTTTTATTCTATTTAGCCATGGTGACGTTTTGGTCCTTGTATTGTGTGTTTTTTTTTTTGTTTTTTTTTAATTTGGGGTATACATTTAATTTGAGCCTCTGTTGTGATGTTTTTAAAACTTTCCATGCAGACATTTTACTCTTGTGACTGTTTATTTTAATTTCCATTTAATTAGCTTCCTCATTTTTGTGTAGTTCTCCTTTCTGAAGTTAACTGCTACTGTGGTGGGCTTCTTTACTATTTTTCCTCCCCCCTCCCCCTCCCAAGGATATTAAATTTAATTATATTATGGTCGCTATTACTGAGCTGTTCTGTTATTTTCATCTCTTTGACCAGACCCTGTGTTCGACTTAGGGCTAAATTAAGAATTGCCTCTCTCCTTGTGGGTTCCAGAACTAGCTGCTCCAAGAAGCAGTCATTAATGGTGTCTAGAAACTTTTTCTCTGCATCCCATCCTGAGGTGACACATCCCCATATTGACTGGGTACAGTTGAAATCACCCATTATTATTGAGTTTTCTATGTTTATAGCCTCTCCAATCTCTCTGAGCATTTCACAATGACCATCACCATCCTGGTCAGGTGCTCAGTAGTATATTCCTTCTGCTATACTCTTATTATTCAAGCATGGAATTTCTATCCATGGAGATTGAGATAGTTTGATTCATTTAAGTTTTTTATTATATTTGACTCTGTGCTTTTTCACATGTAGTGCCACTCCCTCACCAGTACAACCTACTCTTTCATTCCTATATATTTCATACCGTGTTATTGCTGTGTCCCATTGATTGTCATCATTCCATCAAGTTTCTGTGATGCCTAGTAAATCACATAGGATTACTAACTATCTATGTGAAGAGAACCCTCCTGCCCTGCTATACATTCTCAGGACAGTTCTCTGTCGATACCTTTGTAAAATACTTAGTTGTCTGCCTTCATGTGATGTAATTGAATTGGACTTTTTCATTTGACTGATGCTTCAGTTCCTACCTATACCAAAGGTATACCAAAGATACTGAAAGGGTATAGAGCATTTTACAACAGTATTGACATGCTATGTGATTTAATGTTAAATATTTCAAATTAACCTTGTCTGGGTTAGTGATTATGAAAAAGGCTTAAGTGTTGGTGCCTGCTAGCTTGTTGCTTTTGGCCATTAAGCATTGGGGACTCTGGACTGACAAAAAACAGCGCTTCACTACACAGACTTCAGAGGATGTATTGACATATCCTGAACTGCGTGGAAGATGAGAATATATTAATGTGGTCACGTATAGCACCAGACTACCAAATACCAGTCTTCTGTCAATAGCTGCGGTATTTGCCTCTTTGACAGGAGTTGGTCTCTCATTGGTCCTGTAGGCCTCTAATCTTATTCTAATTTGCTTAGAGTTCAATAAGGCTCTATTTGGGGGGAATAGGTTTATTACCAGTGAGTCACAAAATCCAGAATTGATTTTAATAGCTTCTGTCAAATGGGCAATAGACAATCTATTTATGTAGAGTTCTTAAAGTCCATTGCTTCAGAGGCAGAATAGAGAGCACTGCAGAGCTGGATGACTAATCAGGCAGAAAAGGAAAAACATGAGACTAGAATAGGGAAGAACTGAGATGGAAGTGGTAACTGCACGTACGAAGATTAGTTCTAATGATTGGCAAAGGGAAGGCTACAGTAATGGGCTGAAAGGAATAGTAAGTGAGATTTGCTGTCACATGTAGGCTAAGGTGAACAGGAAGTATTCAAGATAAGACTTGAAAATGAGTGGCTTGGTGAGGGAGATCAAATGGAGCAGCACAAGTGAATGAAGCTTAGCTATACCCTGTTGGTGCCTCTTCCCTAATCACCTCTCTCTCTTTTTTTTTTTAAAAGTGGATCATCATCAAACTAGCTTGTGTTTGGAGGATGAATGTAACAAATAAGTTGGCAGCAGTAGAGCAGGGAATGAAACATTGACCAACAGAATGATTCCCTTCTGAGGAGAACAAACTGTCAAATTCTCATCTAAAAATACATTCAGGATCTGGATCCTATATCCCCTGAAATGTAGAAAGATTTAGGAAGTGCATGAAATGGAATTGTACTTGACAGTATGAAAAAAAAAAACACAAATGTAAGTGAAGGCAGGGTTTGAAAGGGAGCTCTGTCAATACAAGGACTGAGTGAGATGAGAGATTTGAGTCATTCTTTACATCAAGCTTTCCAGCTCTGAATGACATGAAGGTCTGAGGCAATTAGAGGGGTGAAGGACAAAAGACATCTTACGTTGAAATAGGATTTATAAGTAACTCAGAACATTTGGGATTGATTTACCACACATTCTACTTCAAACAGTTGTAAAAGTGCAATCAACAAGATTATAAAATAGTTTACAAGCGCTTCTTGTATTCAAACACTTCTAGTCTTAACTTTTTCGGACAGTTTTCACAGCTTAACATTAGGGTTTGTTATGACTATTGTTGGAGAGTTGTTAAACAACTATCTTTGTGTATGCAGGCTAATATGTCCTTGGATTTCTTGGAATATAAATCTAACTTTGAACCCTTCTTCATGATGATCTCCACTCCAGCACCACACTCTCCCTGGATACCTGCACCTCAATATAAAACGAGCTTCCAGAATGTCAGTGCACCAAGAAATGGCAATTTTAACATTCATGGAAAGGTAAGATGATTTGCAAGAATCCAAACAGATTACTACATTAATTGGTGGAAATAATTAGACAGTGGGTCTGATTTACATGTGTAACACACTGAAGTTTAAGTGGTGAGAAGAATGGGTTAATGTTGTTCTGGTGCTCATCTGATTCCAGCATCACATTTTTTAAAGGATTGTGATCTTCATCTTTCAACTCTTATGTGAAACATCTGATGTAGCCATCTGAGATTAAGATCACAATCCTTTTAAAAACTTGATTTTTCTAACCCTATTGGTGATAGGAGACTGGCTATCCTGACCTTCAATAATAAACACCTGTTGCTACACACTTGTATTTTAAGATTCAAGAACTTAATGTTTCTTTAATTTTGGAGTGAATTTATGCAATAGGATAGAAATTATGATTGTTACTAAGTTTGACATTTTACCTTCAGCTTCCAAACCATTAAGAACTTTATTCTGCCAGAATCATCACTCACGTGCATAAGCTCTAATGATGTGCTTCCATAATCTGCAAACTTGTTCAGCTAGAGTGCCACCTTAAATAGATTTCACACAGAATGAAGAGGGAAATGCCTTAAGTTGCTCTGTCAAGTGGCCAATGGATATGGGTGTTGATGAGCACTGTTGTCTCTACCAAAGAGACTCAAATCACTCCCTTTTTAATGGAAAACGTTACCAGTCATCAATTTTACCAAACTATTTAGAAGACCTCTTGGTTAAGTCATGAATCATAGGTCCCAATGCCACCAAATGCTGTTGACATCAAGTTTTATCATCTCTTCAGTAGACATGGTGGCACCATCCAGGTGTCAGCATATGAAGTTAATGTAAATGAGAACAGTTGTCTTGGTAGAGTCGAATTTAAACCAGTGGTAAGACAAAAGCACTCAAAGGAAGTAACTGGGCAATGACCTGACTTTTAATATTTGCCTTTCAGTTGTCAAGATAGTTTGCAGTCTTGGGTCAGACTCGCTGAATTAGTATCTGTTTATAAAACACATGGATAATGAGTGTGACAAGATACTTTCACTTTAGCTAAGAATGGCTACAGTCTCCTATCTGAAAAGCCAGCCACAGTAATCACGGTCAGCTCCATACTAGATGTTTGCAGTTTGTTCTACTTGTGGCTGAAGGAGAAGGCCATATAAATGGCAGTTAGTAAGACATGTTGATGCCTTCTTGAGGCTTTTTGGGGCAAAGATATACATTCAACTGTGATTTGGTTCAAAATCCCAGTCCAAATCTTGAAGAACCTTAGTGGGCTATATGGAATCTCAAACTTTCTCACTGTTTGCAACCCAGTGACATCTGTGTGCATTGGGGCTATTGTGACTGATGGAGCCCAAGGGCAAAAGGCAAAGGGCTCTAGATCATGGAACTCTTTACTAGAAGGGGTTAAAATGACTCCAAGCTTAACTGATCAGAGCATGATGTACAACCCAGTTTTTTGCAAGTCCTTTGATAATGATGGGAGCGTGAATAGAAAGAGGGAAGACAGTGGCTTATGCTAAATAACAGTGTCTAAACCAGGCAGTAGGAAGCAGAATCACCTTTTTTCCATAAAAAGATCCTTAGTTTTATTTGGGATTTAGGTACTACAGGGGTTGTGTGCTTTAAAAATAGAAAGCTAGAAGCGGTTATTTGGTCATAACCAGCTAAAAAATACAATGCTGATTGGCTAATAGTGTGGGAGTTGCCCTTAAGTGCAAAAACCTCTGCACTTGGCTGCATAGCAGTGCAATGCACAAGGAAAACCATAGGGATTTTCTTAATACGTCATGCTTACAGCACTTACTCCATCTATAGATATTGAGGATTCCGCAACAGGGGAAGAAGGAAATGTTAGGCCATGTCTATATGTACAGCGCTGCAGTGGCACAGCTGTAGCGGTATGGCTGAGCCGCGGCAGTGTGTCTGGTGAAGACACTATGCCAATGGGGAAGAGCTCTCCCATCGGCATAAAAAACCCACTTCTGTGAGCAGCATAAGCTATTCTAGCGGGAGAAGTTCTCCCACTGACATAGTACTGTACACATGAGCGCTTATGCCAGTGTAACTTATGTTGCTCGGGGTGGGGAGATGGAATATTCACATCCCTGAGGGACATAAGTTTTGCCAACATAGGCTGTAGTGTAGACATAGCCCTAGTCCCAGCTAGAGACTGAAATGAAACAGCTGCATATGGTCCTCAACAGTCAAATGCATATTGACAGAACTGTAATAGGTGAGACTATTCCTTTAATTTGCAACAGGGTGTTGTAATGAGGCCTTGTGGACCCTCCCACTCCCTCACCTTCACTATTGGTTAATCTAAGCTCAGTTAAATTAAGTAATAATCTTGTAAATGTGGCCTAAATTCATAAATAGGTTGGAGGGGTAAGACTAAGAAGAGCAGAGTACTGCAGGACAAGAGGAAGACTTTCAGCTCCTCAATAAATCTTTAGTTCTCTTGGTCAAGTCTGTAACTGCAGACTAGGTATTTGGTCTTACTTATCCTAAATCAGCTTTCTTGCTTGGCTAAATCTCAAGCATTTAGGTGTTTAATTTAAATAACAGAAACAGAACAATTGCCAAAAAGGTACATGGGTGCTGCATGCAATTTAACTCCGTTACAAATTGGATTCATTAGCTCTTCCCCACGCTCCAACACCAAACCCTCCCCAGTCTGGGCAAAAATAGAGAAATGGGGAATCTAAATGGTCATAATTACATGACTCATAAAAAGGATTTAGGAGTTCTTACAGCCTCAGATTGCGTCTAGGGGAGGAATTTGCAAAGGTGAAGTTCTACCACTGAGAAGACCCTGCTCAAGCTAAATCCAGACTGGTGTTTGGGATAACAAGTAATCAACTCTGCTGATCTCAGTTGCTTTATACCTTGAAACGGAAAGTGTAAATTTACATAACTTGTAGACACTTGATTTTGTCCCTTTCTTTCACTTTTCATTAGGATTGGTTTTGGATAGCAAGCTTTTCAGGGCCAATTGTGTGTGTGTGTGTGTGTGTGTGTGTGTGCGTGCGTGTACAAGCACAATTCTGACTGGAGTTTCTGGCTGCTTGAATGTGTGGCTTACCTGTCCTAGTCAGGTTCATGATTGTTACCTCAGTTTCTCGCCTCTGAAAATGGTCAGGCTGGGAGGATGATTTGGCCTTTTGGTCAAAGCAAGAGGCCTTCTCCTTCTAGTGTTAAAAGTCCAAATGAAAAGCTATAAAATCCTTTCACCCTGTGGCAGGGCCCTGATAGTCTCCATCCCTAAGTGCCTGGGCTCACCTTCTCTCCTTGTACCAGGGTCTGCCTCCTGTTCCTGTTGCAGGGGCTCAGTAGTCTTTTTCCTTCAGTGCAGGGGGTTTGTGCACCACCACTCTAGGTAGTGTCAAAAGGCCTTAGCAGCAATCGGTTCTAAGCCCAAAAATACTCTGCTCCACTATCCTAAAGTTGTTTCTTATCATGTTGCTAATCTCTTAGGCCTCTTCTAGCAGTTCTCTACTACACCCTTGCAGGACTCCTTCCTGTCTCCTTGTCAGGTAGAGAATCATCACTGGTGTCAGTCCAGAGAGTCTTCCCCAGGCAACGGCTATCCTTCCCAGCTCTCTCTCCAGGCAGAGTTCTTTTCACAGTTCTCTTTTCTAGGCCACTAAAGTGATTACCAGGCACTTTCTGCTCCCTGTGGGTATGTCTACACTGCATCTGGTAGTGAGCCTCAGTCTTAGTGCTAAAAATAGCCTGGGGTGGGTTTGGGCTTGAGTCTCCAAGCTCCATCCTAAGCCACAATGTCTGCACAGCTATTCTTCGCATGCTAGTGCAAGCCCTGCTACCAGACATCAGTGGATTCAAGCTGGGAGGCTCGCTGCTAGATGCCATGTGAACATACACTGTAGGGTCCCTCTCAAACTGAGCAGAAACTTACACAGTCCTGCTGTCTAGTTCTCGAGGTACATGATCTAAGAGGAAAATTGAGTCTAACTCCCACCTGTACTTGAACTCAATGAGGGGGAAAAGACCATAACAGAAAATGTGGAAATGGCAGAAGTGCTTAATGACTTCCTGGTTTCGGTTTTCACCAAGAAGATTGGTGACGATTGGATGTCTAAAATAGTGAATGCCGGTGAAAATGAGGTAGGATCAGAGTCTAAAATAGGGAAAGAACAAGTTAAAAATTACTTAGACAAGTTAGCTGTCTTCAGATCACCAGGGCCTGATGAAATGCATCCTAGAATACTCAAGGAGCTGACTGAGGAGATATCTGAGCCATTAGCAATTATCTTTGAAAAGTCATGGAAGATGGAAGACATTCCAGAAGACTGGAAAAGGGAGAATGTAGTGCCCATCTATAAAAAGGGAAATAAGGACAACCTGGGGAATTACAGACCAGTCACCTTAACTTCTGTACCTGGAAAGCTAATGGGGCAAATAATTAAGCAATCAATTTGCAAACCCCTAGAAGATAATAAGGTGATAAATAAGACAGCATAGATTTTGTCAAGAACGAATTGTGTCAAACCAACCTGACAGCTTTCTTTGACAGGGTAACAAGCCTTGTGGATATGGGGAAGCAGTAGATGTGGTATATCTTGACTTTAGTAAGGCTTTTGATACTGTCTTGCATGACCTTCTCATAAACAAAATAGGGAAATACAACCTAGCTGGAGCTACTATAAGGTGGGTGCATAACTGGTTGGAAAATCATTCCCAGAGAGTAGTTATCAGTGGTTCAGTCATGCTGGAAGGGCATAATGAGCGGGGTCCCGCAAGGATTGGTTCTGGGTCTGGCTCTGTTTGATATCTTCATCAGTGATTTAAATAATGGCATAGAGAGTACACTTATAAATTTTGCGGATGATACCAAGCTGGGAGGATTGCAAATGCTTTGGGGGATAGGATTAAAATTCAAAATGATCTGGACAAACTGGAGAAATGGTCTGAAGTAAATAGGATGAAGTTCAATAAGGACACATGCAAAGTACTCCACTTAGGAAGGAACAATCAGTTGCACACGTACAAAATGTGAAATGACTCTCCTAGGAAGAAGTACTGCAGAAAGGGATCTGGGGGTCATAGTGGATCACAAGCTAAGTATGAGTCAACAGTATAACGCTTTTGTAAAAAAAAAAAAAACAAAAAAAAATCATCATTCCAGGATGTATTAGCAGAAGTATTGTAAGGAAGACACGAGAAGTAATTCTTCCACTCTTCTCTGCACGGATTAGGCCTCAGCTGGTGTATTGTGTCCAGTTCTGCATGCTACATTTCAGGAAAGATGTGAACAAATTGGAGAAAGTCCAGAGAAAAGCAACAAAAATGATTAAAGGTCTAGAAAACATGACCTATGAGGGAAGATTTAAAAAAAAAAAAAAAAGGGTTTACTTAGTCTGGAGAAGAGAAGACTGAGAGGGGAGATAACCGTTTTCAAGTACATAAAAGGTGTTACAAGGAGGAGGGAGAAAAATTTGTTCTTCTTAACCTCTGAGGATAGGACAAGAAGCAGTGGGCTTAAATTGCAGCAAGGGAGGACATTAGGAAAAACTTCCTAACTGTCAGAGTGGTTAAGCACTGGAATAAATTGCCTAGGGAGGTGGTTGGATCTCCATCATTGGGGATTTTTAAGAGTAGGTTGGACAAACACCTGTCAGGAATGGTCTAGATCAGGGGTGGCAAACTATGGCCCATGGGGTGGATCCAGCCCACGGGATTGCCAACCCCATGGCGCCGCGGGACTAAGGTAGGTTCCCTGCCTGCCCTAGCCTCGCGCCGCTCCTGGAAGCGGCCGGCACCACATCCCTGCAGCCCTTGGGAGAGTGGGGAGCAGAGGGCTCCACGTGTTGCCCTCGCCTGCAGGCACCGTCCCCCGCAGCTCCTGAGCCCCCTTGTACACCCCACACCCCTCCTGCACCCCAACCCCTTGCCCTGAGCCCCTTCCTGCACACTGCAACGCCTCCAACTCTCCAACACCCCACACTCCCTCCCGCCCCCCAACCCTCTGCCCCAGCCCTACATTCATGGCCCTGCATGCAATTTCCTCACCCAGATGTGGCCCGAGTTTGCCCACCCCTGGCTAGATAATACTTAGTCCTGCCTTGAGTGCAAGGGACTGGACTAGATCGGGGTGAGACCTCTCAAGGTCCCTTCCAGTTCTATGATTCTATTATTAAAGTGACAGGTTACTCTATTTTAATGTAAATACTTCATAATGCAAATACTTCACTCAAATTATTACTATTGCAATTAACAATTCATTGAAGATTTAGCACTTAACAAAAAAGCTCATTTTATGTTGTTTCTGTGCTAATCTTAATGTGTTCTTTTTTAGGACAAGCATTGGCTAATCAGGCAAGCAAAGACTCCAATGACTAATTCTTCAATACAGTTTCTAGATGATGCTTTTAGAAAAAGGTAGGAACTGCTGCTTGAGACCATTTAATAGGTGTCCTGGCAAGACTAATAGCCCAGAGGCTATTCTGATGAAAACAAAAATAAGCTAATTTAAAATGGGTAACAGGTCTCATCATAAGAGTTAAATTACCTGCAGTAGTTTTCTGGATGCTGCCTGTAGAGTCATGCCCCCACCCCTTTTTTGGTAGGCAGACTTATAAGTAGTCTGCTAGACCATACAAATCCCTTGTATCTAACTGCTACTGTCATTCAACATACAGAGACATAGGAAGTCCTGCTCGGTCTCTTTACTGTTTCTCTGAATGTTAGTGCATGAGAGACAGTAAAATGCATTCACGTTCTCAAAATGAGTAGACTAATATGATCTAATCTGTTTTTTGGTTGTGGTTTGTTTGTTTTTTTAAGGCAGTGTGAGAATTCATTCTCTCAATGACTTTCATATCAAATGTACTTAGTTAACAAGTTAGAAAATATCTTAACGTTTAGCTCCCCTGCCAGCTAACCTTGGATCTGAGTCTGTTCTCTCCTCTTTGTATAATAGTGTCAATAATAAAGGTTCTGATTTTGCACTTGAGCAGTCCCATTGAATTCAGTAAGTTTTTAGACAAGTGTGAATGATTGAAACTTAGGAACCAGCCTCCTTTTAGCTGTACTGGCTCTGTAGTGCTAAGTAAAAAATGAACAAGTGGTGGTGGAAGCAAGAGTATCTTACTCAGCAGAACTGCCCCCTGGCTATACCATACATAGATCTCCTCTGCAGAGTTAGCATCTCGGTATTGTTCCCATACCTACACACCCCTCTCACAAGTTTAATGGTGCTTTCAACTGGGGCTACCTGGCATAGCTGGGACCGTGAGTTAGAGCCTGGGTTCTGCTTTCACTTGGGCTGGTAACTGGTGCACTTTGCAGTGATGATAAATGCTAATAGTCCTCCACTCCCTTCCCACAGTTCTCGGTCTGTTTCAGAAGAACTCAGAATTCTTCCACAATTCACTGGCAAAGAATCAGAGTAAAACCTTACTTTAAATTCACTGGTAATTAATGAAGCAATTTACCTGTTTTCAGAGCTGATCTGTCTAGTGGTTAACCTTATAGGATTCTTGGGTAGCCTCTCTATAGAGGGAGATGTGATATTTTAGGGCACTTTTCAGTTACTACTTGTGATACATTATCGATGGCAACAGCAGCTAAGAAATGCACAATATGAAGGCATAGCTAACTACTGTGTGTAAGTTTAAGTAAGCTTTTTAGTCTCCCCTTTATTCTCCATCTTTGCTGTAAGGCTAAATTCTAATTCTAAAGAGGGTTACAAACAAATGCTAACACTACTTTAAATAGTAGAACTGTATTTTGTACATGTTGACAGGGTAGAGCTTGGTATCTTGGAGAAGGAAAACTTGGAGCTGGTTTTCAGGTCATTGCTTTATAAAGCATACTGGTAAAATTATTCAATTTAATCTTAAATCAAACACTGAGTGCATGCTGGGAGACATCAGAACCCAATAATAAAATCTGACTGGTTAATCTGAAGTAATGAATCTAAGCACTTTGTGGAGATTGACTACTCCTGTAACAAAACATATCATTTTTCTATCACGAGGTCTGCTTGCTGAGAAGATGGCTAGTAGCATCAGAATAATGGATCCTGGAATTGCAGGAGCAATATGAAGAAGTGGATAGACCTTGCTACTCTCTTTTGTGCAGAAAAGATCACCTCATATAGAAACTGTTTTAAAACATGACATACTTTTAGGAACACGTTAGTTCTGCTTTTATAAAATGGTGACCTTGCAGGAGAACATTGTGACGCTAACATGCTAGTTTGCATTACTTCAGAAATGGTCTGTGGCTACTTCTAGATAAGATTAAATGCAATCTGCATTTTGACCTTTCAGGCACTACAGAGTAAAACCAACAAAAGGAGAATAAGACAAAACAAAAGGTCTGTGTCTCTTTTAGAATGGCTGCAGCTCATACTATAAAATGGAGCTCGCTATATGTTTGGTTTGTTTCCAGAGTTTGTGGTGATAGACATGATATGCCTACAGTGCATAACAGAAGTCCAAATCAATTTGTAGCCTAATATAAATGCCCATTTACAACTAATACTAATTGGAACATTTTTTGCTCCCATACAGATGGCAAACACTACTGTCAGTAGATGATCTGATAGAGAAACTGGTGAAGAAACTGGAATTGCTTGGAGAGCTAGATAATACTTACATTTTTTATACCTCAGACAATGGCTTCCATACTGGTATGTATACTTGTCCTTTGCAATTCTGCTGCAAACTTTTGGTGAAATCTTAGTTATCTAACTTCTGCCCCTATTTACTCATCTGTGAAATGAAGACAACTATATTTCTCTGGTGCTATGAAGCTAAACTAATTGACTGCAAACCTACAGTGCCATCCATCTTCTGGATTTTATAAAGTGGTGTTCTGTCCCTAAAATGTAATAATGATATGTATAAATATAGACTTTTCCTCCATTCCTGCTCTGAAATACCAAGATATTTTTACTGGTGAATTTCATTATAGCATCTCTTTCCTTTCTCAGTGTTAGAGCTGCCCTCTGTTGTCGTCTTGTATGTAGATTTGAAGTTGTACAAGTGGCCGAAGTTGTACAGCATCAGAATCTGACTACAGTAATAGACTGAAATAAAGGAAATCTGTGGGTGAATATGGACTGAGGGTCTGTGTATGTAAGGTCAAGATAAAGGACCTATTTAAGGGGGGGATGGATAGCTCAGTGGTTTGAGGATTGGCCTGTTAAATCCAGGGTTGTGAGTCCTTGAGGGGGCCACTTAGGGATCTGGGGCAAAATCAGTATTTGGTCCTGCTGGTGAAGGCAGGGGGCTGGACTCAATGACTTTTCAGGGTCTCTTCCAGCTCTATGAGATAGGTATATCGCCACATATATTATTAAACAAGTCATTGTTCATCAAAGGCCAGATCCTGAGTCATGTGCAGCCCTCTTTTTTTTTATAAATTAAACCACAATTAAATGGTGTCTCATTCTTTTCTTAATGTTTTCTAGGACAATTTTCTTTGCCAATAGACAAACGGCAGCTCTATGAGTTTGACATTAAAGTTCCATTGCTAGTTCGAGGACCAGGCATCAAACCAAACCAGACAAACAAGGTAGGATTATAAGTGAAGGTGTAGTAATATAGGTCTTCATATTCTTTTGTAGTAATCAGACAGTGTCTGACATATATGCTGCAAAGGGGTCTAGCAACACATTAGTGTTCTGTAGTATAAAGGGACCTCACTTTCTTGTTCAGACAGACACTAAAACTTGACTGTTTAAGAATATTAATCTTTTTGTGAGTCAGTAACACTTTGTTTCCCATCACCATCCAGATGCTGGTTGCAAACATTGATTTGGGTCCCACTATTTTGGATATCGCAGGGTTTGACATAAACAAGACACAGATGGATGGGATGTCACTGTTGCCGCTTCTGGTAAGAGTTCAGACAGGATTAGTAACCAAGCAATTTGCAGATTACTCTTACACAGATTATTCTTAAGAGTGAATAAAGTTTCCTAAAATGGATTAGGAAGATGTGCATTCCAACTCTCTTCTTCCTCATGGCATTTTCACACAGAACCCTTCTGGCCTAATGAAAATAGTAACAAGATGCAGGTAGAGCATTTCATTGCTTATACATTCCAATAAACTCTGAAACTCCCTCCTCGGGGAGGATTAATTTTTTTTTTTTTTAAATGGAAAGCTTTTTCTTTGACTAGTTGCACTACTGGTAATGAATGATTCCTGTTTTGATGGTTGTACTACTTTGCTCTTCAATTCTGAAATGCTCTAAGACCTGCATATGTGACCAAGACAAAATTATGCCTTTGACGGGTTGGGTCACAGAAACTGCCTTGGGAACTGCCACCTGATGTGCTGGGATCACCTCTGAGCCTGTTTTCCCTGGCAGCTTGGGACTTCAGTACCGACAAGTTAGCCTGCTACAAACACAGACCCAGGTCTGAACCACGTCCCCCAAAAGCTGCAGGCTTAACTGAAGACGGCTTAAGAAATGCTTCTGTCTCCAACATCCAGATACCAGAGTTCCCAATGGGATCCAAACCCCAAATAAATCTGTTTTTATTCTGTGTAAAGCTTATACAGAGAAAACTCATAAATTGTTTACCCTCTATAACACTGATAGAGAGAGATGCACAGCTGTTTGTTCCCCCCATGAATTAATTGCTTTCTCTGGGTTAATTAATAAAAATAACTTTTTACTTATTAAATATAAAAAGTAGGATTTAAGTGGTTCCAAGTAATAACAGAACGAAGTAAGTTACAAGCAAAATAAAATAAAACACACAAGTCTAAGCCTAAGCCTAATACAGTAAGAAACTAAATGCAGGTAAATCTCACCCTCAGAGATGTTCCAATAAGCTTCTTTTACAGACTAGACTTCCTTGTAGTCTGGGTCCAGCTATCACTCACACCCCTTTAGTTACTGTCCTTTGTTCCAGTTTCTTTCAGGCCTCTCTTTGGGGGGGAGAGACTATCTTTTGTGCCAGCTGAAGACAAAATGGAGGGGTTTCCCAGGGCCTTGTATAGTCTCTCGTGTGGGAAACCTTGTGTTTTTTCCTATGCAGAATCACAGCTACACGATGGAGTTTTGGAGTCACATGGGCAAGTCACATGTCCATGCATGACTCAGTTCTTAACAGGCAGACGCCATTGCTTACATGTTAGTTTGAACGTTCCCAGGAAAGCTCTGAAAGACGCCAATCCACATCCAAGTCCATTGTCAGTTTAAGTGTTTCTTGATTGGGCACTTAGTGAGAATAGTTTTTTCTCAAAAAGCTGACCAAATGCTTCACTGAGGCTGCTTAAAATCAAAGTACATAGCCAATATTCATAACTTCAAATACAAAAATGATACACACATACAATTAGGATGAATATATTCAGTAGATCATAACCTTGCAGAGATGTTACACGGTATATCTAGCATAAAACATATTCCAGTTATGTCATATTTACACTCATAAGCATATTTCCATAAAGCATTATGGGGTGCAACGTCACAATGCCCACTTGATATTTATTTAAATCCTAATAAGTGGGATATTAGTTGTCTTTTCCTCACTGACGGGGAGGGGAGGGAACTAACCTTTCCTACAGATGAGCAGAAACCTATTTAAATGAAGCTTCTTGTAGCAGATCACTTTACTGTTATACTTGGTCTATAAGTTGGAGGTAGCCTTCAAGAAATTGCAATGAGTCATCATGATTTAGAACCAATGCACTTTTGTGGTATAAGGTTTCGCTAGTGAAACCTTAAAGGGACAACATCAACTTAAATCTCATGTCTGACTTAAAATTCTACCTGCTGTCACAAATAATGAAGATTGTGGGTGTTAGACTTCTGTCAGTTTATGGCGTGCATTTGTGACGGTACTTCGTGTAGTTTGTTCCTCTTCTGTAATCTGCTCGCCTCTGTATAGGTTTTACATGCCTTTTTAAAAATTATTCTAAAACTGCACATGTGGGAGGGATTTAAAATTTTCAACTCACTTTTTGAAATACACTGATTGGCTTTCCAGTTGAGTGTGCCCTTTTATGCAAGTATCTCTGATTGTCTTGTGTAATTCTTCACCTGTGGCAATACCACTAAAGGAAGAGGCTATATAAAAAATCTTTTTCTAGAGATTTTGGGTTATAATTTAGTGGTATTTGGCAACATGGCTTGTACTTCATGATGATCATAATCCTTCAGTTAGTGCTAGCTTGTTTATGAACTGTCATTAGCACTCTCTTCAAACGAAACAAAATACCCACTTCCTAAAGCAACTTACCAGTTTTTGGGACTGGATCTCTAATGTGGCTTCCAGTTGTTGTTACACAGGGCATTTTCACCAAGCTTCGTTATGCTTTTGTATTGGTGCCACTGGATGTGTCTTAAATTACTCTGTAACCAGCAAGGAGTATGTAATCTCAGGCATGCATGATTTTTATTTATGGCATTGTCAGAAGAACAAACAATTAAAAAGTAAATTTTACTATTTTCTGTTTTAGAGAGGAGACAAAAATGTGACCTGGAGATCAGATGTCTTGATTGAGTACCAAGGAGAAGGACATAACAGCAGTGATCCTACCTGCCCTGCCCTGGGACCTGGTGTTACTGTAAGCAGAACTGAACTTAAGCGTGAATTATTTGTAAATGTTTCCTGAAATCGTTTAAACTAAAATCACAGTTCAGAGTCAGCCTTTTAGTAGCCTAGAAATTGTCTTCCTGTGATGTGGGAGATCTGGATTTACTTCCTGGGACAGCAGAACCTCGATTTTACAAACAACCAGTTTTGCAAACCATTTTTCTTGACAGGGAGTGGGGGGGAAATAACAATAAAAGGTATATCAAAGAACAAGTTGATGTCCCTTCAGAACATTGGAAATTGCTTTGCAGTGGCTTGAAGGACAAGAAGGCAATGCAGTGTACCGTACTGCAACTTATGCGTGGTATCCGTTGTAACTTCAAGATCAATTTATGAACTTTTTGGTTTTATGAACTCCTCAATACCCAATGCTAAAATAGGGGTTTTACTATATCTTTCTCTGTAAGTCAGTAGGAGCTATGCCTGTTCTGAGTACAACATGCCTGGTTCAGAGTAGAATGTTTTGAATGGCTGAACATCTGCCTCTTTGATTTTAAAATAGCTAGTGCCCCCAGAATCCCATGTCAAGTATCGGGGGGTAGCTGTGTTAGTCTGTTTTATTGGAAAGATGGTGGCTGCAACATAGGGCCATGATCTTTTACATCTGCAATACTGATGCCCTCATCACACAATCAAATATTGATTTGAAGCCAGTAAGTAGGTGGCTACATTCTGCAATACACTAGCTGTGCTCTGTAATTCTGTCATACTAATGCTTACTGTAAATAGACCCTACCATAATGTTCCATTTTATGGTATTGTTCCCACTGTGTCTAAGTAGCCTGTTTGGGGTATTGAGCATTGTTTTCATTTCCTGGCTACTGTATTAATTCACCAGAAAAATAATACAAAGAAGCTATCTCCCATTTAAAAACTTCCCTGACAGTTACACTTTCTAATTTTTAGAAAAACTGGTATTCTTGTTCCATATATCTCTACCTGGGATTTTTAACATTTAGTTTTCAGTATTCTGTCTAGTGTCCATGAATTACTTGCAGCTGGCTTCAGCGGGTACAAGTTCTGGGTGGGGAACTATTGCTTTCAGTTTCACCACATGAAGTAAAAAAGAATGTTCACGCTCCTTTTTCTCTTTAACCTCTGTTTCCTTACAGCATTGTTTTCCAGACTGTGTGTGTGAAGATTCGTATAACAATACATATGCTTGTGTGAGGACACTGTCAACTTCTTGGGATCTGCAGTACTGTGAATTTGATGACCGGGAGGTAATACTTTCTGGCTCATTTACTTCAATGGCACAGTGTGTTAAATGTTCAATTCTCTTGCAGTTCTCACTATTTGAGATAATTAACATCTATTATAGTGTAACTCCATTGATGTCTGTCTGCAAAGTTTATCTACTCTCAAGGTTGGCATAAACTACTCTGAAAATGAGACTGTAGCTTCGCTCGTAGGCTAAATAGTCAATTGTTTTAACTGTTGGTGGAAATAGTTAACCAAAACATACTGCATGATCATGAGGGGGAAATGGGTTAACTTATCTAGGACCAAATTCACTTTTGATGTAAGTGGAGCTTAAGTAGGAGTTGCAGCCGGGCTGAATTTGGCCCTCCGTATCTAAATGACAGAGACAACTTTATTGTAGATCATAGACTAAACTGGTGGCTAGCCACGTATTTCAGAGCTCATTGCACATTCCTAGCAAGTTCTCAAGCGGTGCAAGTGTGTGGCCTTGCCAGCAAAACAGTAATTTCACCTTTCCCCTATAATACATTCAGTCATCAACCCCTTTCAGTTTAGCAAAAGATGAGGCAATTCTTAGTCTTAAATTGCTTAATTCCTGAGGTAAACTGCTAAATGTTAATAGTTGGGGAGCAGTTGGTATGGGGCAGCATGTAGTCACATGATAAATAAGGTTGTAACAGTATTTGTCCCAAACCATGTTTTCAAACTGCCTCGTTAAGACTGCCAAGGAGAATCAGGAACCCTGCAATGCTTTACCAATCCCTAACAAACTGCCATCTTTGTGTTCACCGCAATGCGAAATTGGGACTCCTATTCATGCACTGCAGGGGACCCTCAGTGAGCTTTGTGCATCACCATTGATCTGGGAATGACCTGCTCCTGCTTCCGAGAGATCCCACTAGACAAAGGCTAAGGGGGAGGGATAAAGTACATGCCCCCTTAGCAGATCAAGGGGGCTGAGTGGAAAAGTGTAGCATATAAAATCTGTTTGAGCACTTCCAAATGGTCTAAAGCCCACTGATGGGGAGATCACATTTCTACAGCTAACTCAGGCCATGACCACAGAGGAGAGACTAAGCAAGTTGCATTCTAATAGGCTGATTGCGGTTTACATTAGAGGAATGCAGCTGCTTGGTCTGAAAATGACAGGGCCAGCTCTCCAGAAAGCTTTAGGACAATTGGCCTACTAGGATCTGTCTCGATAGGACAGACTTTTTCTTCCATTTAGAAGCAAAATTTAAATTTCATTAGTAGGATGTTAGCTTCATGAACAGTCTCCTTCAATTATCCCAGGGAAGATACTTGTAGTGTGTGTGTGGTGCCACCAAGGAATGTAAACAGTGCACCCAAAATCCCAGCTCTTCTCTTAAATCCCTTCCCTGTTCCCATTCTCTGAAAACCATGATCAAGCCCTTCTTCCCTGATTGGGGAGCTGTGTGAGTGCTCTACCTTCCTAAAGGCAGACATCAAAACTGATCTAAGCTGCTGATTTAATTGCACGCATGCTTTAGTTGAATTCTTGTGGCATATCCAACTTTACTGCCCCACAGAATGATCAGAGGTATATTTTGAACCAGTGTCTTGTGTCACTGCATGCTAACCCATCACCTGGCTGCCCCATAAACTCTTAAGAAAATACAATAAATATTGTGATTCTCTAAGCAGGCCATACAAAGGTTTTACTGTTTTAGTTGGAGATTATATAATACACTTGTGTCCAATTCTCTGTTATATGCAGTGTCGTCTGGGTAAAAAGATGTACTCTGTGGGAGTTTCATTAACCAGAGCTATATGTGTGGAGTGTTAGTTATTACCTCATGTGCTTACCTTGGGCTCCATTCATAAGATGACAAACCTAACATTTGACATGTAGATAATTCACTCCTTAATATTTGCCTTATTTTAATTTGCCACTGACCCCTCAAGACTGTCCTGAAATTGTGAGCTCCTCAAGGAAGGGTCCATTTCATGGCTGTGTGGTAAGTTCTTAGCACATAGTGGGCACTACGGGCTAACTGAAGATATAATTTAACTATAATACATAGCAGTAGAAAATAAGTTGTCACTCTACCAGCATGTTTCCCCACTAATTGTGTAGGACGTATTCTGTTTATAATCGTTGACATTTAATACAGTACAGGAACTGTTTTTTCCACTTAAACAGGTGTTTGTTGAAGTCTACAACTTGACTGCAGACCCACACCAGCTTACTAACATTGCTAAAACAATAGATCAAGAAATTTTAGAGAAGATGAACTATCGACTAATGATGTTGCAGTCCTGCTCAGGAGCAACTTGTCGCACACCAGGTGTCTTTGACCCAGGGTAACTTTTTTTGACTATTTCAGCTTTTAATTTTGTAATCATTATTCACAATTGTGTAGCAGTTTAGGACTGTGTCTTATAAAATCAGTTCTCTTGACATAAGACACAAAAGTCTTACTTTTTTCCCCTTTTGTTGGAAGTAGGGACTTCCCTTCTCTCTAAAGGGATGGTGCCATAAATACTTTTAAACTTAAATCCCTGGAAATTGTCAGGCAGTGTAGACACGTGGTCTGAGGAGGAGACTGTATTAACGGAAAGCAAGGTGGGTATAGGACAAACTAAATTCTAAAGCTGAATGTTTTGTCTCAGACCTAGTATTGCATTTTTCATCCAGGAAACTCCATCTAGACTTCTAATTTAATGTCAATTAATTTAAAATGTAAACTTGGGACTATAAAGGCTAAATGTAGATAAATTAACTGTACTTGGTGGCTGTAAGATATGAGAAACTATGGACATATCAAATGTATCTTCAGCAATGGTGTAATTAAACGCCCTTTCCAGGTAACTTTATCAGTCACTGTTGGTTTGAAAAGGATGCTGCCTGTATAGCTCTTCAGCTGTGCTGACTAATCAAAGGAACAATGGGTTAAATAAGGAAATAATCACTTGCAGCTTATTAAAAGCTTTACGTGTGTTGCTCCACACAGGAACGTTCCAACTAAAGTATTTGCTAGCCTTATCTCACTTCTTTTTTGGATTCAAGTCTTGAATATTCAAAACAAGGAATACTATCAAACTGCCATGAAAACAGAGCTTGTAACATGCAGCAAAACCATCTGTGTGAGTCAGTCACACCTGCCTTCTCTCCAGTTAAGACTGCTGCTTTTCTAGAATTTTTGCAGCACTTAAAAGGCTGTTATTTATAATAAGTTTGCATTTACATGCTAAACTGCCATAACATTTTACTGCTGTAAGTACTGCAAAATATTGACAATGCAGCTTCTGGACACCTTTTCCTTTATTTATATGTAATGCTACTGCAGATACACCCTAGTGTTGTATTTAGATGCAACATCTACACTGTTAGCTAAAAGTGCCACTACACTGACTTTTGTCAACTTCTGTAGTATTGCTTTGTGACTAAATTGAAATGTTGTAGCACTGTCCTGGTAGAGGAGAACTAGTTCCCTATTAAGTATCAGAGGGGTAGCCGTGTTAGTCTGAATCTGTAAAAAGCAACAGAGGGTTCTGTGGCACCTTTGAGACTAACAGAAGTACTGGGAGCATAAGCTTTTGTGGGTAAGAACCTCACTTCTTCAGATGCACGAAAGCTTATGCTCCCAGTACTTCTGTTAGTCTCAAAGGTGCCACAGAACCCTCTGTTGCTAGTTCCCTATTGTGCACTGCTGAGGGAGGCTGCCATTCCAATGAACTCCGGTTTAGTGCTATATGTTAGATCTATTATGTTGCTGGTAATCCTTGATCTAAATGTAGCTCACACAAACCTTCTCCCCACTCTTAGGTACAGATTTGACCCACGCCTCATGTTCAGTCATGGTATTTGGGCTCACAAACTTTCCACACGGTCTCTGTAACAGCATTTATCAGCCTCTTCAGTTGGCTTCCTGTGTTCATTTCTTCAGAGGGACTCCAGCAGGTCTGTCTGTATCTAATTACATCGGGAATACTCAATCAACTGGTTGTTAAAACTTTTAGCGGTGGGGAAGGGCAGAATCCCTAGTCTTTAGAGGGCTGCCTTGTGCCCAGTGTATATTTTACAACTGACCTGTAATTCTGAACAGTCAGACATGGCTAATCTGTCTTGCTCATATACCTTGTTTTTCAAATACTTTTTCATATCAGAGATATAGTGTTGACTTGTGACCTATAAATCTGACTTGGATTTATTTTGTTTTTGTATGAATAAAGACCGCGTTTATAAACTGAATCATGTTAACCCAGGGCAGGACTCATTGCACAGAAATCTTCACCCATCTTCATTCACTCTTGAAAAGACTTTCCTAAAAGCGAAGTGTTTAAGAGCAGTGTTGAACACCTATAATTAAGTTAAGCTGGAGCAAACTACCATAGTATGGCATGGGAGAGTATAAGCCAGAGAGTTTAGGGATCTGACTAGAAACTGTCCCTCTTGCAGACTTTAAAGCACTATACTTAATCTCTAGACCAGTAAAAATATTCATCTCACAGGTTTGCTTAAGCAGCTTTCAGACACAAGGATACTCTTTCAGGCCCATTTCCAATTCAGAACATTGTAACGGGTTATTAGATGCAGTGGTAACTACTTAAGTTTTAACAGAACATATATTTTGAAATAGGCTTTATTAATATGTTAAAACTAATCTGAAGTGTTGGAATAAAACTGAGTGCCTGTATGTTGGTCATGATGAACCAGCTTTGCTTCACTAATCTGAACAGGAGTAAACATCAGAAGACAAAGAAATGTGCACCACAGTAATTGTCATGTGCATGTCATCTCCAGCCTTCTCAAGTATCTTGTGAATAATTAAACATTTCAGATTGACCTGATGCATACAGTTAAATTGACTTTGCCTCCTGAAATATAAAAATCACAAATCTTCACTTAGCAGAGATCCTGGTAAGATGACTGCTTAGGTCAGTTTGAGTGCCTCTGCCAGAGAGCTGCTTCTGTGCTGAAAACTACCTCTGTTATGCCCTTCATGCCAAAGGATTCTGGTATGTTACTGCTTTGGTATTTGGGTGAGGAGGTAGTTGTCTGTCTTCAGCTTACTGATGACACTATTTTCACCCTTAAAAATATTCATATGGAAATAATAAGTGATTACGTTTTCAAAATATTGACTGCCTTTCTAAACTTAGAAAATCACTTAAATTCAAGAGCCAGCAAGCTTACTAAATTTAGTCTCCATAGAAATGCATTACCAAACCAACAGCTAGAAACCTACTGAATTATCATCTTGATCTCACAGGATCCTATAAGAAAATCATCCTGCTTGAAGGCAGTTGAACTGTAGCTTAAGGAAAAAACTGATATTACATATTTTTCATTGTCAAATTAAAGCTCTCCTCATTTTGAGCTGTTGCTATTTACTGTTTCTGTTTTTAATATATCTACTTATCCATTTAGAAAACAATATCTTTAAGTCAGAAGAGTAGGTACTTCCTGAATTGCTGCATTGTCAAGTACATGAAGCCCTATACCAAGTAAGTATTATTTCAGATAGCTGAACCATAAGGATATATCTAATTTCAGAAACCAAAAAGTACATCCCATTTTACAGCTTCTTGAATCTGGTAAAAGCAACACTTATGAACATGGTATTAACTACATTTTACTTCAGTATTGACAAACTTGACCAGCTGCTACTCATCCTTCTTCCTTGTGTGACTTCCAACAGGAGGTAAACTTGATTCCATCCATAATCATATGGTGAACAGATTTAATTTTGCCTCCCAAATCAGAACATATTTATTGTTGCTCCAGAGGCATTAGAGATGCCTGGGGAAAACTAACAGCTGCTGAAAAGGACCCTAAAACTAAGGGAACATATGAGAGGCTGTTTCTCTGAATGCATATTACAACAGCCCACTACTTTCAGTCTCCTCCCATTAAATTACTTGGATCCTTTGAAATATTCCATTTTCTTTATCTACCATAATTATGATTTTCAACTTATTTTCTCCTCCATTCACCAAAACATCTTATCCCACTTCAATGTCCTTGAGCCTCTGGTCTCTTCTACAAACACCTCTCCTTCCTAATCAGTGTGTTCCCTAGCATCTTACCTTTTTCCTTACCCATCTGTTAGATCCTGCAACAAGTTTTTGTTCCTATTCTTTGACCAAGCCAAAAGTGATCTAAACGCTCATTTAACAATATTTGTCTAACACTACTACACTTAGATTTGTGTTCTGCTTTTTAGTTAAACTTGCTGGTGTCTGTACTTAATTGTAGATTGTGAAGGGTCTGGTGAGAGAAATCTTCAGTCAGTGATGTATGCATTAAACTCTGAGCATCTATGTCCAAACTATTCTAGCTGGTCATAGAATTGAAGTTCCAGTGTGTATGTTTACTAAGTGTCAGCAATGCAATGGTTGTCATTGTCTGCAACGTGGTGGTGGTCTTTTAAGTAGACCTTTCTCTTTTTGTAGAAAAAGCTAGTATATATTCATGACCAAAAGTATAATTTGATATAACCACGTTTCCTGATATGGCATACTTGGGTAGCATGAAGAATTTTACTCTTTAATGATAACTATGTATCTTGCATATTCTACCTCTACAGTTCATTGACATGGAAATTGATTGTGTAGAATATCTAGTAAGTCTGATCAGTGGGAAGAATTTCACCCTAATTTAACATGTTGTTGTTAGTATTTTCATGCAGAAAACATACCGGTCAGTCATTTCAATTGCAGCCAGACTTGTTCCCTTACATTGCCTTTTTCTCAACTGACCATGAGTCTACCACACCCACATCTGAAGTCTGCCAGTTAAGAAATAATGATTTACCACAGAAAACCTTCACCTCACTACATTCTACTCATCAGTCCTGCTGTGACTTAACAAAAATGCAAACACTTCTGAAGAAATGTGCACTGGAAGTGCATTTTAAGCTTAGCTGAAGGAAGAACAGTAACAATCAACTGCTGCCCTGTTTTTGTTCTGATTTAACTGTTCAGTGTTTTTTCACAGGATACAATAAATCCTATGGATATTTTCACACTCCTGAATGGTCAATATTCACTTTTTCTTGATAACTGGAATAGCATGTTATTTCAGTTACCTTACAGCTAGACCGAATTCCAGAACACAAGTGGTTCAAAAATTGAGCCTTCCTATGTTCCATTCAATAATTGGTTGAACATGGCTGTGGCCACTTGCACCTTATTACTTGAGCCATTTAATTGTTGAAAATGAATAGAAGCCTTACTAAGTACTAGTCTTTCATATAAAATGTGATTATAGGTCATTTTTAAATGTAAACTGTTTCTCATGATAGTCTAATCTGATTAAGCAGATACTGTATTCTGCAAAACATTGCAGAAGAAGCAAAACTGTTCCATCTATTAACACAAATATCCTTACTCACTTAACTGAAAATATTGTCGCTTTAGCATGAGTGAAGATCTCTGATAAGTGCTTATAGGGCCAGAGAATTGACTTCTTGTATGTCAGGGAGTAAATGTTGTTTTCACAGATTGTTCCCTAGAGTGCTGATCTTAAATCCTCTATAGTAGGGGCAGTAGTCTCAAAGACTAAAATAACTTGGTAAAGTCTAAATCTGTTTAAATTGATCTATTACACAAGGCAAATACAGACATTTGGTTGTAATGCTGCTGAATCAATGAAGATGGCTGTTAAATTATTTTTTAATGTGCAACTTTATATGTATTCCTAATTTGTTCCTTTTTTGTACAGTGTCTGACTGTACTTCACTGTGGACTTACTAATTTCTGCTCTCTATTGTACCATAACTGTTTTGTTTAGAAAGTGCCCTTCAAAGGACCCTGTTCACTGCTGCACCTTTTGAAAATAAAAATTGTCTACTATGAACCTCTCTCATACCTTTTTATGGTGAACTGAAATTGTGAACATCTTGAAGGGAGGTAGTTATGTGTCAAAAGTTCTAGAAGTCTGCTGCCTAGTTTATAACATTCTAGTGCCCAGTGCTCTGGTATCTATCCACCTTGCAAGGCTTTAAATTGAGACATTAAAGATTTCATTAAGACCAAAAGAAAAAGTCTTTAGTATTTAATCACTTGGGAAGACCTAAGGAAAAAAGTATACCTTGCAGCTCTTCCTAATAGTGACCATGTCTGAACCTAATTCTCCATCTGTTCCCCAGGAACAGCTGCAGGCCCATTTAAAAGCTCCATTACTAAGACAGTGACTGATTTATCCCTGCAGGGAATGTTGGCATTCATCTAAATCTGCTTAGAAACGGATGTTGAATTGGTGCAAAACCCTGGGGTGGATACTCAGACTGGTTGAAGTGCCTTATTGATTTTAACATAGGGAGAACTAATCTGTTAACATTGCTGGTAAAGTTCTTAAGTGAATTTGAAGTTGAGGTACATGTTGCTACTATTGCCAACTCTTTAGAAAGTGCTGGAGCTCATCTTGTGATGACATGAGAAGATCCAGCCCCCTGGCAACATAGAGCCGTGCTTGAAACCAGCAGTCTCACCCATCTGCTCACCATTCTCACAGCAGCTCCAGTGCTACCACCCCTTCTATAAGAAAAAGACAAGATGGCACATCTGCGGCTCCCAGACCAGGAACAGGAGCGTGAAGAATCCCAGGAGGCACAGAGGTGAGGGTGGGGTGGGTAGGGATTGGGAGACAGGATTAATTGCTGGGAAAGAGACAGATTGGGGTGGGGAGTGAGAGCTTCAGCAGCAGGGGCTAGAAACACTTTACCCAATAGATTCAGGAGAGATCAAAAATCAAGACAGGCCAAAAAAAAAAATCTTTAAAATATGACTTTTGATCTCTTGAGGTTGGCAATGCTGTCTTGCTTTTTAGTATCTGGAAAGGGAAGTGAAAGTATTGGAATGCTACTGCCTGTTGAAAGTAGCAAAGAATCTAGGAGACTTTTTTTCCCTTTAACTTATTACCATGTTTTTCAGATTTTGGGTGGGTGTGGTATCTCTATACACAACCTTAGCTGTCACAAAATTAAGATTGTGTTAATACCAATTTAGCATAAGTTACTGTGTCCACAGGAAGCTGTACACAGTGTTATGCTCACTTTAATTATACCCATTTCTAAACTACTTTAGATAAACTAGTATAACAACTTTATAGGTGCACTTATACTTATGTCCAGATAAGGACCCAGTCAGGTATCTAGAGCATAGGCCAGTTGTCATACCGAAGTGTGAGCATTTCTGTCAAAATAGTTCATACCTAAGATTGCCAGCTATAGAAGATTCCTTGTGGCTTACCCAGAAATCCATGCCTATTTACACCCCAGCTTGTTTGTGTAGATAAGACCTTTGATTAGTAAATATGCCCCACCCTAGCCTGACGTGACGTCAGTATTGATATGGACCCTGCTCCCGTACACTAAAATTCCTAGCACACTTTGATCTATCCTTCTTTGAAATGGGAGTATGTCAAAGCACACTAGAGGACTTCTAGTGTGTAGCAGGCTACTATAGGGTAGAGTTACACCCCAGTTTACCATGAAATAAGTGTTTGTAAGTAACCTAGTTAATCAATGACCATGAGTACTACAAACCCTTACTGCCGAATAAAGTTCTAACTTTTCCCACACTCTTAAAGGGCAAATGAGCACCCTACTGCTTAAGTAGGGGGTTAGAAGAACATGACTACAAAGAACATGAAATGGGGGGAGGGATAGCTCAGTGGTTTGAGCATTAGCCTCCTAAACCCAGGGTTGTGAGTTTAATCCTTGAGGGGGCCACTTGGGGATCTGGGGCAAAATCAGTACTTGGTCCTGCTAGTGAAGGCAGGGGGCTGGACTCAATGACCTTTCAAGGTCCCTTCCAGTTCTAGGAGATGGGATATCTCCATTAATTATTATTACACTCAAAGTAACCTAAGTATCACTGAGGTCTAGGACCTATGGAGATTAGCCTATATTCAAGCAATCAGAGGAAATCTTAACTTCTACATTTGCCTGTACAACTTCACAGCTTACACAATCCCATATTACTGGATTTCAGCCTTCATTTAAAGTGGATAATTGCTTAATTATCAGTATAATCCCTCTGCAACCAGAGCCAAAACGGAGCATTATCTGATCTAAGTTCTATCTGAAATACTTGTACAATGTTGGAGGAAAGTTCCAATATTAAAGTAGTGTGCAGAAGAGCTGTATTTCTGAAAATGCTTTGAGGTCATTTGAAGAAACACCACTGTTTTTCTTTCCATGTACGTGAGTTAAGTATATTGGAATCATACCTAACTGTCAAGTTTTGTACATTAGTTTAGCACCACAAGAAAGGGCTGTTCTGTATTACCTCAATGTATTTTCCCATTGTGCTCAAAGACATCCCATGGCCCATCATGCTACCATCAGGGTCATGAAAACTCTCTACAGTTTCTCCTTGGTCCTTAAGTCATGTTTATGTAGAAAGATGCTCTAGAGTGATACTGGAGTAACCTGTAAAAATGTAAGAAGGCATTGGTTATTTCAGAACATGTTCCATTAAAGGAAAATTGGTATTAATAGAAGAGGGATTATGTAGGTACAGGTGTAACCGTTTAGATTTGTCACTTACCAGATAACATTACTGTTGGGGGCAGATGCAAATAAACCAACAGCTAAAGCACACTATAATAACTTTCACTCAACTGTTTCTGCCACAGCTGGATGTCTGATAGCTCTATGGTAAGTAACAGGTTGGTAACTCCTGAAATACAGCCACTGCCTTAGCATCTCAGGAAAGGGTGGGCAGTGATGGGGATTATTATAAATTGCCAAAAAGGACTTGCTCTATAATGTGTGAGAGACTGGGATCCCAGGGGAGCCACACTGAGGTTACTCAAGTAGGGCAAACTACAAAGAATGGGGCAGACAATCCCCAAAGCTGATGGGTATTCCAATACAGTACTTATATTTACCAAGGCAGCACAAAACAGCTTCTATAATACCTTACTGGTTAACCAGAAAACACAGTTCCCTTTAGCAACCCAGACACCCAAGTCACACATGATGAAGATTACTGAAAATTGTATTCGTCATATCAGAAAGTTCTACAACTCCCAAAGGATTAGGCACATTACCTCCTAAATTAATGAATATTTCAAATCTTACCCAAATACATGCTTACAGCTAATTCTTAACTAAACTAAAATTTATTAAGAGTATTGGTTAAAAGATCATGAATATAAGTTGGAGATCAGTTTCATAGTAGCGATGGTGAGCTTTGTAGTTGCAAAGAGTGCTTTCGCAATTAATCCATAGGCTATAATCCAATGTTCATATCCAGGTGGGACTGGATATCTCAGTCTTATGACTCAAGCTTCCCCTGTATAAAGCATTAAGCAGATCTGAGATGAAAGGATCAGGTCTCAAGAGTCTTTTTATACTGTTTTCTGACAGCCTCTTGACCATACAGTCCTGGGTGAACAATAGGCTTTTGAAAGTATCCTTCTATTTCCTAAACATCACCAATAATTACTATATATGGATTAAATTAAGGAAAATGTAGCCATTAATCATTTTATCACAAACTTTAAAGAGACAATGACTTTATTTCACTCAAGATTCATCTAAATGTTAATCCCTTTTAATTGTTGAATCAATAGCTGTAGTAAAACACAGGAAATGTCTGTTTATATAGCTAATATCTAACAAGACCTAAGTAAACATACAATTAGTATCACCTCTAATTCTCTAACAATACAGGTTTGCATTTCAAAGTTCTAGCCCATCTAACATGGAATGGCCCTAATTACCATTTATATACTTTCCCAACATGTCTCTAAAGGTTAAATCTGGGTTATTTATTTACTGCGAGCTGCTTAACCCTTTTTGGCCATCTGTCATAATGTGGACTTGCTAAAGCAGAGTTGAAATCACTTACCAATCCCAATCAAAATTATGTATCAAGTACTAGGAAAGAAAAGATGAGCTCAAATTTCCCTAAGCAACTTGCTTAATTTCAGCCAACTGCAGGGTGATAATTTTACTCTATGGGAGAAAGATAAAGTCTTAGTGCTGACTTTCTGTACGTGCAGGCAAATAACGGCACTCCAATAGTAAAATCCCAGCTGGGCATCATAGTTTAAGGCTTCTACAACTGCCTTAGAATAGAAGTAATCAAAAGGCAGAAGGCAGCATGCTTAGGGTATGTCTATACTACCCACCGGATCGGTGGGCAGCTATTGATCCAGTGGGGTCGATTTATCGCGTTTAGTCTAGACACAATAAATCAACCCCCAAGCACTCTCCCGTTGACTCCTGTACTCCAGCGCCACAAGAGCCGCAGGCAGAGTCGACTTATCAGTGAAGACACCGTGGTGAGTAGGTCTAAGTACATCCATTTCAGCTACGTTATTCACGTAGCTGAAGTTGTGTAACTTAGATCGACACCCCCCCCCTCCCCTCTAGTGTAGATCAGGCCTTAGACTATAAGTGCTTTTGAATGGGGACCATGTTTGTATGGCAACTCATACAATGGGGTCGTGGTCCATGATGTCTTGTCTGCACCAAGGGCTTGCTGCTATAGTTGTACTGGTAAGCTGTAGTGGTTCACCTTCCTAGGTCAGACATAGCTTATACCAACAACAGTGCTTTTGCCAGCACCATTTACATCAATTCCCTGGCCAAGAAAGCTATACTGCCAACATCACCATAGCAAAGCCCATTTAAAACAAAAGACAATAGCCCGAACCAACAGTTCTCCAGAATAAGTTTTAAGCATAGGTCAGGCCTGAGGTTCGAACATGCTACTGCAGTACTACTATTACTCAATGTCAGATTTAATTCACCTTTGCAATAAGTCTCTTCAAGGATAAGGTCCTAAAGCATTCGGAAAAGGAGCAAAAGAAACTAGGAAAGCAAGGAGTAAATATTCCCA